CCTTCCAAGGGGATTCCAGGACAGTCTTCCTTTCCAGTAACTCCACATCAGAAGGGTGGAGAAAAGTGGGAACGTTAGCTTGTAGATTTGAGCTCCCACCCAGTCCAGTTCAGAGGTTATACAACAGAGTCTCAAAGACTATCAATTTTCTCTCAATAATTTACTCATAGTTAAATCACAGTTAATTTATTTCTATTAAATTTGTCCTGGTTATTTACATTAGTGCACTAAGAGCAGTGACTGATCATAAAGCTCTTTTTAAGACTTTTTAAGGCTTCTGGGGCACCTGGGTGGCTCAGTGGGTTAGGCCTTTGCCTTCGGCTCAGGTCGTGATCTCAGGGTCCTGGGATCGAGCCCCGCATGGGGCTCTCTGCTCGGCAGGGAGCCTGCTTCCCCCCCCACCCCGCCTGCCTCTCTGCCTGCTTGTGATCTCTCTCTCTCTGTGTGTCAAATAAATAAATAAAATATTTTTTTTAAAAAAAGACTTTAAGGCTTCTTTGCTGGATCTTTTCATAAGGAACCTCAGACTGAACTCTTACAAACTTCTTGAGGCCAGGAAGCCAAGCCAACAACTTGCCATCAGATTTTGCCTGTAATAACTATAGTTTGGGTAAATTCCTAACGGTCTAAGCCTTGGTAATACAACCAGTATTTCCCATTGTGTCCTATCACAAGGAGGACGGATACTCACTGAGCTTATGCAAATAACTTATGCGTGATAGTAACAATACTGTCATGAAAAGGATATTTAACATTTCCCAAACTCTGGAGTAGAGAGAGAAAGCAAATATTTCATCCTTGTTTATAAAGGTGTACTTTATCCAATGGCTGTATGACACAAATAGTTTACGAGAAAAAAATTTTCTTAAATCTGGAAAAACAAAACATTAAGGAACCAGCAGTGTTTCCAATAAAAATTCATAGAAAGTTGTCACCATCCTTCTCAGTTCATTCAGTCCCATGTGATTAATATCTTGTCTACTTGAAGCCAGTTTTTCCATCAGTTCAGGAAATTCTTACCCAGTTCAGTTTTATGAGCTGAAACTTTTGTCAGAAGCCTGTGCTTGTCAAAGTCCTTTCTGTTAATCTCCTTGAAGATGAGGTCATTTTGCAGGGACACCCTTGCAAAACATCAGAGTAAAACAATAACTCTCTGTAAATGACCAAAGACTCAAAAATGCCCATAATGAAAGATCTGATGAAGATTCATTATAATAGAATTAACAAGAAAATTCTGTTATTCCCGTGCCACACAACATTTGAAGATAGTAACAGAATAATGACTGATAACATTATATCAAGACACGTCACATTTCTAGAAATGTCACACGATTTCTGGAATACTTGTATAGCCACACAAATACTACACAGAGAAGGGTTATTATTACTTATTTGACAATGTTTCCCATGTAATTTAACATATTAAATAAGCCTAGCTAGTTCAACATCTCTATTTTCATAAGAGGAAAGCAATTCTTTTGAGATGTTTCAGGGACCCTTTGGAAAACCCAAAGATAGTTTAAGGTCAAAAAGACTATTTAGAATTTGATTTGGGGAAATTTGTCAAAAATATCAAAAGATTTTTTTTAAATTTTATTTTATTTATTTGACAGAGGAGACGCAATGAGAGAGGGAACACAGGTAGGGGAGAGGGAGAAGCAGAGAGGGGGAAGCAGGCTTCCCGTGGAGCAGGAAGCCTGAGCGGGAGTCGATCCAGGACTTCAGTGCCATGACCAGAGCTGAAGGCAGAGGCTTAATGACTGAGCCACCCTGGTGCCCCCAAAAATATCAAAAGATTTTAAAACACTTGGTAAAGTAGGATCATAGGTCACTGTGAAATAATATTTAGTTATTCATTTAACCAAAATGACAATTAAAGACTTCACAGACAAATACAGAAAGTTAAACAACTGTTCAAAAAAAACTTAGCTCTTTGCGGGGGTGGGTGGAGGTTAGGGGAAAACAAAACAAAACAAAACAAAACAAAAAAAACTTAGCTCTTCTACATAATAGCTTTAATACTGAATATTTTCCTTGAAATTCATGTGGGTTAGTTTCTATTACATTTCTGAGAATTTAATTTATATAAATATTTAATTTTTAAAGCCAATTAAATAGAGCTCATTTACAAATTAGTTTTAGCAATACCATCCACAGACAGAAAACACCACACACTCATCACACATGCATACAGATGGGCACGAACACATGGACAGACACAGAGAACTCCTTGTTCTTGTTCTCAAATTACTGTCATGGATCAAAGTTTCAAATGTCCTCTTCCCTTTTGTTTTTCTTCTGATGAGAATTACCTCCCTGAAGTTGATATTTTAAAGACTTGAAGTAGATGGGACTGTGAGTGTTCCCAGTGAAGGCCAGGTAGAACATTGACATCTCAAAGGCATGGGGAAAGAATGCCAGATCCTTCGAGAAGGACTTTTGTGCTCTTAAGGCCAGAATTTTTACAATACCTAATAAGCCCTTTGAGATAAGTAGGGGAGGTTTTGGGATTGGTAAAAAGGGTTGGTGGACTTTAAATCGTTTTGGAGCTGCACCTTTGGTCCTGTAAAGCCTAGATTTGTAAAACAAGGACAGTTAGGTTTTGGGCCACCACCTGCATAATGTCAAGTTTGACACACCCATCCATTTATGTCAGAATGTTTTTCTTTCCTTCCAGGTACATTTAGCTTAGAAGCCTTAAAAAATTCCTACCAGGCTCTAAAAATCAGCTTCCAATTTGGCCAAATTTCTGATCAGACAGTTATTGAATTCTTTCAAATATCTTGTCAGGTTTCAAGTGGGGACAAACAGCAAATATTTCTGGTCATATTAAACAACCCATGGGACTGGGAGGTGTTCTCAAAGAGGATACAAAAGTCACCACTTTCCCAAGACTCCAAGTCACTCCTGAAGGTAACAAAAGGAAGAACTGACAGCTTGCACATCCCAGATGGATAGAAAGCCAGCCAAGTTCTTAAGACACAAAACAGGACAAGCAAGAGGGAGTAGCTCTCCCTGACAGAAGGATCAATAGCCAGTGGACTTGACATTGGTAAGGAAGGGAGAACTCGAAATTTTATTTCCCTCTCTCAACTGAGCACTCCAGACAGACACTGGGGAGAGCCGAGTGTCATGAGAATGTTCCCCATCACCAGATTCTGTTTTTCCAGGGTCCCCTCTGCAGAGACTCCAGTACCAACCAGAATTTGGCAAGGTTTTTCATTAATTTTAATCTTTACTTTCCCTTGGTTGTTTAAGAGAATAACATAGCAGTTTGCCAGACAATCCCAGAGAGGCCTGTCAGTTCTGGGTGGGACCCACACGGGAGCTTCCTTTGAATGAGGGTATGAAGACATCTGTGTGGGGCTGAAGGGTTTACACAAAACCTTTGAAGACAACCTCTTTTCTTGAGTTCCAGTTGATTACAAATGCGGTGTCAATCTCTGGGCCAGGAGGGTATAATGGGGAAGTCCTGCTGTTGTTCGAGGCATTTTGTGTCTTTTATTTTTCACTAGCCTCTTGTAATGACACTTTCAATAAAGCTATTTTGGAAATGTAAAGCCTCGTTGGAAACTTCTGAAATAGATATCCCATTCTGTTCATTTAATATGGGAATCTTTACTGTCAAGTGCACTTTTTAATTGATCTTATCTAATCAGAAAACTTCTCATAATGGCCATTGTAATCCTAGGTTGTTGTTGGTAAGATTTTGCTTTTTTGTAGATATTTATAGCTTCCAGGACCACAGTTTTTAGATATAAAACAAGAAAGCACACTTACCTCTTTTAGAGTTGAAAGATCTTATTTCTTTTAGCTAAGCCCTTGGGCCTCTTGCAGCCAGCAAACACATAAAAGGGATGTGCCACTGGGTTGGGTAGTATTTTCGTGTACCTTGCTTCATGGACATTTCTTGAGGTTGGCAAGTGACCTAGAGTCAATCTAGCCCATTCCATGACCAGCTTAACCTAACATGGGAGTCTTTCAGTTGGCGCACAATTTTTTTTTGTCTTTTGGTCTCCAAGATCCCTGTTAGCAATAGCCTCTAGCTAAAAAAACAAGAAAAGCAAATATGTACACCTTAATGTAGGGTCATTAACTAAGAGATGTTACCGTGTCCTGGCCGCAGGAAGGCCCTCCATTCGTTCCTGTGGAGGCTTGAGCTGGCGAAGGTCTGAACTAGCAAAGCTCAACCAACAGGGCTTGTGGATAGGAAAACTGCACATAAACGGGGAGCCACAACGCGCCTCTATCCGTTCTCAGGTGGATCTTGGAAAAGAATAAAGAGCTGGGAGTTTCCACCGATTGGGAATTGTGGGCTGAAAAACCCATTAGGTCAGGAGTTCTCTGCAAAGACCGCGGAGCTGAGAACTGAGGAGGGCTGACCCGCAGCCCTTGGAAATGGCAGGAGAGCCAGAAAACCCAAAAAGAGTTCGGGTTCCGTCCACGTGTCCCTCCCGACGCACCGTCAGAAGTTCGCGGCAGATCCTACCTCCGCCGAAAATCTGTTCAACAACAAAACCCGCCTGGAAAAAATGTGAAGATCTAATGGGCTCTTTGAATCCTGAATCGGGCAGGGCCCCATCTGGCAAATGGAAAGGATTTCCAAGATGCTGCGCAAAGTGGGAAGCTGTTACCGGCAGGAGGACAGGACAAAGGAAGCTTCCAAGAAGGAGTGACTGAGGCAAATCATCTTCCTGTGCGGAAAGATGGGGCCTGTCCCGCCGCCTCGCGAGCACGGACAGACGCTCCAGGCGCGCAGACTCAAGGTCACGGGCCTGGGAGAGATTCCGGCTCGCGCTCGGGCTCGGGTTCGCGTTCGCGTTCGGCTAGGCTCGCAGTCCGCCGGGCACACGGCGCCGTCTTGGACCCGCCGGACTTTTGCTTCGGCGGAGCATCGACCAGGCGGGTATTGAGACAAACGGTTGTTCGCTTCCAGGTGACGAGACGCGGGCGCAGGGTCCGGGGAAAGCGAGGAAAGGGGCCGAGCTGGTCGGGGCGACCGGGGCCTCTGGGCCTTTGTCCTGAACTGTGGCTGCCACGAGCCGCGTCCTCCGCTGCGCGAGTTTCCCGACGACAGTGACCACCGGACACTTTCCGGGCGGCTCCGGGCCGACGGGCCTTCCGGAGACGAACCCCGACTTCCGAGTGGACTTGGTCCCCGCCGAACCCGAGGGCTCCGGCTCCGATCCCGCCCAGACCCCCGCAGGTTCCCTGACCCGCGCCCGCCCCACTCGACCACCCCGCCTCCTCTGCGGGAAAACGCGGATTTACGCAAAAGCTCGCAAAGACGAAGTCAGACCTCAGCACAGGCCCCTACAGGGACACCTGGCTCCCTTCCTCTCCGGAGTCGTAGTTTCTTTTTTTTCCATCTTTGCCATCTAACCCGAACCCTAACCCTAACCCTAACAACCCGAACCCTAACCCTAACTGTAACCCTAACCCGTCCCTACATGACCAACCTGTATCAGCTTCAGCCCCCACTGGACCTGGAAAAGGCTTCCGACTCCCCGGACTGTTATTGCCTCGCAGTGGGTGACATGTCCTCACACACGCGTGTGCAACGAGCTCTTGATTCTTTCCCGGTTCTCTCTGCCGTTGCGTCCCCGAGGGAGGTTCAGGAGCCAGAACGTGCGGCCCAGAGGACGGCAGCCTGCGAGCCTCCCGCACGCAGCCCCAGCAGCTCCTCTCGACTACCAGATGTCGGCACGTTGGTGTGGTGCTTCGTTTTCTTGAAGAAAATGGCCTGGAACTCACAGATATTATGAAAACTGGAGTTCCAAGTAGTCCATGGAGGTATCTTGAATATTAATGTTAATAACTTGCTAACGTATATGATTTTGCTCATGAGCATGGAATAATAATTTGCTATAGGATCTAACTTTAAAAAATACCAATGAACTGGACAATGAATCAGCACAATTCTTCCCCCTGGGTGAAACACACAGCTAGGAGTGTATGCTCAGAGCAACAGGTTTTTCTTTTCTTCACCTTGTGAGCATAGAGATTCCGCAGGTAGTGAAGCCAGAGGTTTGACTCCCGCCACAACGCATTCTGCTAGCTAGAGGTGAGATGGCACACACGAAGGTAAAACACAAAGAGTGTGGTTGATGGGAATACACTGCTGCGTGTTACTTACCCAACAAACTGAAAACACAAATTCAGAGGGTGCACATACCCCGTGTTTCTTGTTGCATCATCCACAATAACCAAGTTATGGGAGCAGCCCAGATGTGCGCGACAGATGGATGGATAAGAAGGTGTGGTAGGTACACACAATGGAATATTACTCAGCCGTGAAAAGAATGATATCTTGCCATTTGCCATGACACAGCTGGAGCTAGAGAGCATTGTGCTAAGTGAAACAAGTCAGAGAAAGACAAATGCCATATGATCTCACTTGTATGCACAATTTAAAAAAAGGAGGAAAAAGAGACAAACCAAAAAACATATTCAACTACAGAGAACACACTGATGGTCTCCACAGGGGAGGTGGGTGGGCAGGATGGGGGAAACGGGATGGGGATGAGGGAGGGCACTTGTCCTAATGAGCACTGAGTGATGTACGCAAGTGTCGAATCACTGTATGTACCCCCAAAAAATCACTCTATGTAGGTTAACCATATTGGAATTTAAAAGAAAGAAATAGCACCAAAAAAAAAAAAAAAAAAAGAAAAGAAAGAAAGAGTGGTGGTCAATGAGAACATGCTGTGTCCCCCAGAACATCCAAGAGCAGAGTGGTGGACTTGCACATGCAGTCGGAGGTCTCCTACAAGCTCGACACACACAGGCAATCAAGATGAAACTGTACCAGATGCCTTCAGTGTGTACTACTTGTAGGTTAGCCCTACCTTTCTGAGACTGACCGTCAGCTAGAAAACCATTTCATCCCCAGGGCCCACATTCAATAATGACAGAAGCAAATGGAGGACCCACATGTCAGAGCTTTTCAGCGCAAGCTGATACTAACAAGCAAGAGGACAAGGAAATGCTGGTTGGGGGGGTCACAACAAAATGATGCTCTGAAAAGAGTCAGCAATAGAATAGATACGGTTTGTGGCTCAGTTGGTCAGGCATCTGCCTTCGGCTCAGATCACGATCTCAGGGTCCTGGGATCGAGTCCCACATTGGGCCCCCTGCTCAGCAGGGAGTCTGCTTCTCCCTCTGATCCTCCCCCACCATGTTCTGTCTCTCTCTCTTGCAAAAATAAATAAATATTTTTTTTAAAGAATAGACGTGGTTTTAGAGACACCTGCCAGAGTGCCCCACAGCAGAGTGTGACCCAAGACAGTAATTCACCCTCTACGCTCAGCATCGTCCAAGCTCTCAGAAGAGTCGTAGACCTAATTTTCATTTCCATGTTTCAAGAAGGATCCTAGAAATACTATGTAAGGGGGTGTTTTAAGAGGTTGAATGTCCCCAAGTTTTGGGCACTGTGGACTAGAGAGAGCATCTGTCTTACCCTCAAGCAGTGGAGGGGTATCATCCTCCTGAAGGGCTGCCGGAGCAGCTCTGAGAGGCAGGCTGAGATTGTGCATGAACAAGCTTCTTGCACCTACAGTCCGCTCTGCCGCCATCCTTTCCCCTCACCCGCTGAGGCGGGTTTCCAGCCTGCAGACACCAAAGAGGTCTTCTTCAAAGACCTTGAATGAATAATCTTTGGGTTCCAGCTTCTGGTGTGAGTCTGGGGCTGCTCAGTAAAATCTTCCTCACTCTGGCTTGGGTTGGGGTAGCTCAGAGGGTGGGAAGGAGAGGGAATTGCTAGCCTACTGCCAGGCGCCTCACTCATCTTCCCTGAATGAACCACAGCAACAACCCCATCTGTGGGCACAGAATCCCCAGCTTGCCTTCCCATTCAGAGAAGTCTCTGGAGCCCCCACAGCATCTCATCAGAACAAGCCACTGATTCTTAATATATGCAAGCATCCAAGTATCTCCAGACCTTCGGAAGAAAATCAGCAACATAGAACCAGAGATGGAGTTCCACAAAAACAGCTCATCTTAGAGAAGACAGCCATGTACAAAACAACAGAAAATTAAATATCATCTCAGAAAGAGTCAAGAAAATATTGCATGTCCATAATCTAAGAACAGGATGGTATTTATGAACAGGTAGAGAACAGGAAAGAAATGTAAAATATGAGTGCTAAACTTAATGTCATGGAGAAGTTCAAGGCTAAGATCAAAGGAGTCTTCCAGAATATGTATTGCAAAACAGAAAGATGAGAAATAAACAAGAGAGACGGTCAGAAGCACGCCTCTGAGGAGTACAGTCTGAGCACTCAGGGCTTCAGGAAAAACAAAGAAGGGTGACTAATCATTAAGACATACCAGGAAAATTTCCCAGAGCAGAAAGAAGATGTGAGTCATGAGGCTGCCCCCACTCCAGGCTGAAGAAGTCAGGCTGTGACCAGCCACATGCAGGCCCGGCCAGTGGGAGTCCAGGGACACTTGGAAGAGGAACCCATTGGAAAGCCCGGTCAGGAAGAGACGAGATCACATGTGAGGGTCCGGAACCACACTGGCTTCAGACCCACAGCTGGAAGACAAACGGGCTGTCATGCAGTAAAATGGCAAGCTGCCCCCTCTCCTCCGAGAACAAAAACAAAGAAAAGGAGAAAGAGAAACACATTTCAGCTCCACCAAAGCCAAACAGAGCCCTCAGTCGAAACCACGCCAGATGGGAGCCGGGAGACCCCGGCAGGCTGTGGGTCACAGCACGTTACAGTCAGTGCCACATCCTGAGGGAAAGGGTGCAGGTCCGGCCTCACTGGGCACAGAAAAGAAGCAGGGTTCAAGCCACCAGGAATGGCGTCCTTGGAGGGAGGGGGAAGGGGACACTGTGAGTGTCCCCATGCCTGCCTGCGCACTGCGCTTGGGTCCATCCTCACATCCAACCTGGTCTCCAGACTGAATTTCCTATAAAAAGCTGACCCAGGGAGGATGCACTATACTCGAAGATGAGTCATAATCAGAAAGAAACCAGCACAGATTCACATAAAAATAGAGTAAGAAAAAAATACATAAAATAAAAGGAAAGGAGAAAGTAAGACCAATAGCAGCACAGGAGTGTGGCCATAAAGGGAGTGAAAACGGACCAAAGACATATGCTGGGACAGAAACTCTGCCCTTCCAACCTCAGAGAGACACACACAGCAAACCAGATATTTTTAAAGGAAAATCAAGATGACTAGACTGTAATGTGAAATACATTCCCAAAACGAAGTCTAACGTGCACTTTCTGACACTCAGTAATGCCCTGAAATGAACTCAACTTGGGTATTAAAATAAATAGGCTGTCAGGCTGAATCACAGAGCAAAACCCAGCATTCCGTGTGTGCAGGAACAGGCCAGAATGAGAGAGATTCAGAATGTGCAGGAACAGGGCTGACACAGAGGGAACAGAGAGTCTGCGGGAACAGGGCTGACGCACAGGGCCGTAGAGGGTGTGCAATGAAAAGATGGGCACAGCCACACCAGATCCTGAAAAAGAGTTATCATGTAGAATTTTTTTAATTAACATATAATGTATTATTTGTTTCAGGGGCTCAGGTCTGTGAATCATCAGTCTTATCACAATTCACAGCACTCACCATAGTATATACCCTCCCCAATGTCCATCACCCAGCCACCCTGTCCCTACCCCCCACCTCCAGCAACCCTCAGTGTGTTCCCTAGAGTTAAGAGTCTCTTGTGGTTTGTCTCAATCCCTGGTCCCATCCTGTTTCATTTTTCTCTCCCTTCCACCTACGACACCCCTCCCTGCCACTCAAATTTCTCATATCAGAGAGATCATATGATAATTGTCTTTCTCTGATTGACTCATTTCACTCAGCATAATACCCTCTAGTTCCATCCACATCATTGCAAATGGCAAGATTTCTTTTGATGGCTGCGTAATATTCCATTACACACACACACGCGTGCGCGCACACACACACACACACACACACACACACACCACATCTTCTTTATCCATTCATCTGTTGATGGACATCTAGGTTCTTTCCATAGTTTGGCTATCGTGGACATTGCTGCTACGAACATTGGGGTGCACATGTCCCTTTGGATCACTACATTTTTATCATTGGGGTAAACACCCAGTAGTGTGATTGCTGGGTCATATGATAGCTCTGTGTTCTACTTTTTGAAGAATCCTCCATGCTGTTTTCCAAAGTGGCTACACCAGCTTGCATTCCCACCAACAGTGTAGGAGGGCTCCCTTTTCTACCACATCCTCACCAGCATCTGTCATTTCCTGACTTGTTAATTTTAGCCATTCTGACTGGTGTGAAGTGGGATCTCATTGTGGTTTTGATTTGTGTTTTCCTGATGCCGAGTGATGTGGAGCACTTTCTCATGGTCTGTTGGCCATCTGGATATCTTCTTTGCAGAAATGTCTGTTCATGTCTTCTGCCCGTTTCTTGATTGGATTATTTGTTCTTTGGGTGTTGAGTTTGATAAATTCCTTATAGATTTTAGATACCAGCCCTTTATCTGATATGTCGTTTACAAATATCTTTTCTCATTCTGTTGGTTGCCTTTTCGTTTTGTTAACTGTTTCCTTTGCTGTGCAAAAGCTTTTGATCTTGATGAAGTCCCAATAGGTCATTTTTACCCTTACTTCCCTTGCCTTTGGCAATGTTTCTAGGAAGAAGTTGCTATGGCTGAAGTCGAAGAGGTTGCTGCCTGTGTTCTCCTCAAGGATTTGGATGGATTCCTGTCTCAATTGAGGTCTTTCATTCATTTTGAGTCTATTTTTGTGTGTGATGTAAGGAAATGATCCAGTTTCATTCTTCCACTTGTGGAAGATTTTCCCAACTTCCAATTTTCCCAACACCATTTGTTGAAGAATATTTTGGGTTTTTTTAAACATTGGACATTCTTTCCTGCTTTGTCAAATACTAGTTGACCATAGAGTTGAGGGTCCATTTCTGGGCTCTCTATTCTGTTCCATTGATCTATGTGTCTGTTTTTGTGCTAGTACCATACTGTCTTGAGGATTATAACTTTGTAATAGAGCTTGAAGTCTGGAATTATGCTGTCAGGTTTGGTTTTCTTTTTCAACATTCCTCTGGCTATTGGGGGTCTTTTCTGGTTCCATATAAATTTTAGGGTTATTGGTTCCATTTTTTAAAAAAAAGTTAATGGTATTTTGATAGGGATTGCATGAAATGTGTAGATTGCTTTAGGTAACATAGATATTTTCACAATATTTGTTCTTCCAATCCATGAGCATGGAACGTTTTTCCATTTCTTTGGGTCCTCCTCAATTTCTTTCATGAGTACTTTATAGTTTTCTGAGTACAGATTCTTGGTCTCTTTGGTTAGGTTTATTCCTAGATATCTTATGGTTCTGGTTGCAATTGTAAATGGGATTGCCTCCTTAATTTCTCTTTCTTCTGTCTTGTTGTTGGTGTATAGAAATGTAACTGATTTCTGTGCATTTATTTTCCATCCTGACACTTTACTAAATTCCTGTATGGGTTGTAGCAGTTTTGGAGTGGAATCTTTTGGGTTTTCCATATAAAGTATTATATCATCTGCAAAGAGGGAGAGTTTGACTTCTTCTTCGCTGGTTCAGATGCCTTTTATTTCTTTCTGTTGTCTGATTGCTGAGGCTAGGACTTCTAGTACTATGTTGAATAGCAGTGGTGAGAGTGGACATCCCTGTCATGTTCTTGACCTTAGGGGAAAAGATCTCGGTTTTTCTCCATTGAGAATGATATTTGCTGTGGGTTTTTCATAGATGGCTTTGATGATATTGAGGTATATACTTTCTATCCCTACATTTTGAAGAGTTTTGATCAAGAAAGGATGCTGTACATTGTCAGATGCTTTTTCAGCATCTATTGAGGGTATTATATGGTTCTTGTCCTTTCCTTTCTTAATGTATTATATCACATTGATTGATTTGTGGATGTTGAAGCAACCTTGCAGCCCAGAAATAAATCCCACTTGGTCGTGGTGAATAATCACTTTAATGTACTGTTGGATCCTATTGGCTGGTATTTTGGTAAGAATTTTTGCATCTGTGTTCATCAAGGATATTGGTCTCTAATTCTCCTTTCTGATGGGGTCTTTGTCTGGTTTTGGGATCAAGGTAATGTTGGCCTCATCAAATGAGTTTGGAAGTTTTCCTTCCATTTCCATTTTTTGGAACAGCTTCAGGAGAATAGTTGTTAATTCTTCTTTAAATGTTTGGTAGAATTCCCCTGGGAAGCCATCTGACCCGGGGCTCTTGTTTGTTGGGAAATTTTTGGTGACTGCTTCAATCTCCTTACTGGTTATGGGTCTGTTCA